AAATTTTCTCCTCATTCTACATTTTAGAGTTTAATTCTACAGAAAATGAAAGTTTATTAACGGAGAAGCGAGTAAACTAGACTTTGAAACATTATAAATGCACACGCGTACATCTCACAAACATACCTTGTGACGGATTCTATGAATAGTGCCAAGAGTGTTACTCTTGGAACGCCCAAATAGTTCCGAAAGGTTGGCTTTGGTATTCTTGGCTATCCATACTAGATAGTTGCGAACAAGATCTCTATGCAGGCCTGAAAGGTGACAAGTAGAAGGCTGTGAGTGTGAGTATGAATCTTCTCTTCAAGAGAACCCACACCCACACTCTTCTTAATAAGTACACTGACTATTCTTAGTTCTGTCTCGTTTTCGTACAATTTCTAGATATGGCATTGTCAAATCCGTCGGGATCACATATTTCGTTGTCTTACGTCGCTTGAGAGCAGATGGATGGTTGTGAATGTGAGTGTATGATACTGTCTATATTCACACTCAAGCTTTTCCACTCTTTAGTCTTGAAAAAAAAAACAGGCATAATAATTAAGGGTACCCCCCCCCTCTTTTTTGACACTTGCTGGTTCTCGAAGATGGTACAACCGATCAAGCTGAAATTTTTAGCACAGATAGAGCACTAAAAATAAAGAGATATGTGTCCGAGGAAAAAAAATTTTAAATAACTTTTTATGGGATTTTCCGAAAAACTCTGGTTTTCCAGAGGTTCGCATCTTGACACATTACGACCCCCCTTAAAGTTTGTCCGATTGGGCTGAAATTTTGTTTATAGATGCCTAACACTATTCCCCAGAGGTAAATTTAAGGATTTCCAAAAATCTCACTTTCTTTTTTTTTTATAAGAAAAATACGCCCAGTTTCGAGTTTGTGCTTCAGACCTTGACTTTCACGACCCGGTAACTCCGAGCAGGAACGTCAAAAATGAAAACGCTTGATTTTACCTCTGGAGAATACTTCGAAGTATTAGTCGTGAAATTTTCAGCTCGATCGGACAAACTAAAAAGGGGGTCGTAATGTGTCAAGATCGAGAAAATCGCTGTTTTACAGAACGCTAAATAAAAGAAATAAATTTACATACGATTACTGTGAAAAAAAAAATTTTCTCGATCTAATAAATAGGTAAAAGTAAGACATTTCGAGTCGAATAATGTCTCTAGCTGTACATGGCACCTAAGGCTATCATATCTTGGGCTCAGCTCAAAATCGAGTTTTGGGTCAAAAAAGAGGGGGGGGGTACCCTTAAGTAGGAAAGAAATACCGGAATAGCTCAAGATATTCAATTAGTAGTGTAGAAAAGTTTAAATAGTTATGGTATTTTAAATATTAACAAGTATATCAACTGATTTCCTTTAGAAGAATTTATTGGTTTATATTAATACTTTTAATCCAATATAACAAGCTGATGATGATAATGACTCTCGATGCTTTTCAAATGTGAGCTTAGTTTGGCGGCATGAATCAACGTAAGAATTCGGTGTCTTCTTGTCGTTGTTTCATGACTTTTCAGGTGATGAGTCCAGCCGAATCAGTGACTTTGTGTATCATATCAATGTGTAAAATCACCAAGATGACGGTCAGTAGAACAAAACATCACGAGAGAACACTGGCATCCATGTTAGAAATATAAAGTATAATAGACGTCAAGATCAATTGTTATATACATAAAACATGTGAACGAAAATAGACGTGTTCGTCCGTCAAAAAATAGAAGTCTCACTTGATAAAAAAAAAGACGCTTGTTTGATGAAATAACAAACGCACATTCAGAGCATCGATCGTGATTTTCCAATATCTATTTTATTAAACTGAACTCACATATGACTTTTGTGAATTATGAAAAAAAAAACAGATGAGGACATCTAGTCTTCTCCCTATAACATAAAAAGCAAATAGGCAAAAAAATACAACAAATTCACTCGTCGGATATTTTTATAAAGCGAACAGGACGGATATTGTTTTCAATCATGTATATATATTAGAAGAATAACAATTATCTGATCAGAAGAAACTATGTCGGACTATCTCACAAAATTGCCTGTAGAATTAATTCATAAAATTCTCGACAATATTCCATCAATTGATATTCTTTTATCTGTATGTTTCATCAATAAACGGCTTCGGTCGATTTCTCTGACTTATCCTCGTTTTCAACTAAATTTTAACCATGTAAATACATCAATAAACAAGTGCCAGTTTGATTCTATCTGTACTCAACTGCTTTATTTGACCTCTCAAATTATATCTTTGACATTGTTCGATGAAGACAGTAAGATGAAGTTTGTAAAAAACTCGATTTTCTTCTCGCGATTCAATATTATTGATACAATATTTCCAAATCTTCGTTCGTTGAATCTGACATATATAGATTATAATACATGGTGTTTCATCAAAACTCGTCTTCCACCACTGATCGTAGCACTCTCCATTCACTTCTCCTCTTCTAAATCGCTATTATGTTTATCCAAGACATCTGCTACTCTTAGTGAATTACTTTTTCTTTCGCCATTACTCAAACGTCTCTCTGCTAAAATGGCTGGCTTTGAAGATAGTGATGTGAAAATTCGATCTCCCAATTCAACTATATCATCTTCTGTTCAATATTTCCATCTAGAATATGTCACAATCAATTTATACAGTCTCCTAGCTGTTGCACCTATGCTTCACACTCTTGAAGCCAGATTCGTCATTCCCGATCTAGAATTAGGTAGAAGTCAACCTCGTCTATTATATTTACAACGATTACGGATTGAATTGGAGAGTATTACTTGGATACAAATGACAATTTTACTTTCGTTATTTCCACGACTTACCTATTTCACAATTATTGCTAACCGTGTGAATAATGATATGGCTGATGGTTATGCTTGGGCACGATTATTACAACACATCGAACATTTTGAATTTGAATTGGAATTCAATTCTAATGTCTTCGAACAACAGCCATTCAATCTCGATTCATTTCGCACGAAATTTTGGCTCGAAGAGAAAAAATGGTTTGTTACATATGATCGAAGCTTTAGCTTTGATGAATGTTTAATGCACTATGTGAGTTCATCTTCTTTTATGACCTCTTCAACACCGGAGAGGATTCGAACGATAGTATCTGAATCAACTGCATCCGAACAAAAATCATATTCTAATCTTCATTC